AAAAAGTGTTGGTAAGAATTTTTTTTCTATTGTGAAATTTCTTTCAAAACATAATCTTGCATTTCGTGGTAATAATGGACGATTGTATGAAAAAAAAACAATGGAATTTTTTTAGATTTGATGTAAATGTTGGCTGAATTTGATTCAATTGTTCAGGATCATGTTCAACGTATACAAGTGATGATATACATAATATTACCTTGGTAATAAAAGTTAAAAATGAGTTGGTAACTTTGCTTGCTAAGAGAATCGAGTCTGATATTATCAACAAAGTAAAAGAGGCAAAATATTTCTATGTTCTTCTTGACTGCACTAATGATATTATTCATCAAGAACAAATGTCTTTTAATATTAAGATATGTAAATGTCTATTCTAAATCTGTTAGAATTGAGGAATCCTTTCTAGGATTTTTAGAGATAGATGATACCATATACCAAAATCTGTTTGATGTTTTACAAGTTGAATTAAAGTGTCTTGGACTAGATAAAGGTATGCTGACAAGAGTATGATAATGTTGCAAATATGAAAGGGAAATATTAAGGAGTGCAAAGAAAACTCTTAGATATAAATCCTAGAGCATTTTATTTTTCGTGTGCTTCTCATGGTCTTAATTTCACTTTATGTGACATAGCCAACATTTGTGATAAATCTAGAGATTTTTTTGGAATAATCTAGCGTATTTATACGATATTTTCTAATTCTACTAAAAGATGGCAAGTGTTTAATGATAATGTAACATGATGGATTTTAAAATCATTGTCAATAACTTGTTGGGAAAGTCGCATTGATAGTGTAAAAGCAATAAGATTTCAAGTGTTAGATATAAGAGAAAGTTTAGTTTAAGTAGCTAAAATTCAAAACGATCCCAAAATCACAAGTGATGCAAAATCATTAACACAAAATGAACTTGGTGATTTTGAGTTTCTAGTGTCAATAATGGTCTGGTATGAAATTTTATATGCCGTAAATTTAGTTAGTAAGCATTTACAATCAAAGAATATGCTAACTGATGATGCTATTGAACAAGTTAAGGGGCTAAAAAAATTTCGAGAGATATAGAGAAACCGGATTTTTAAATTCTATGGAATCAACAAAGAAAATTGCTATTGAATTGGATATTGATCCATTGTTTCCTCAAAGACGTGAAATTCGAAAGAAAAGACAATTTGATGAAAATCCAAAGTGATGCATCTGAAGTTACTTCACAATCTGCAAATGAGCCATTTGGATGTTGATCCATTTCTTATGTGTTGTTGATCATGCAATTTCTTCATTACGTAGGAGATTTAAACAATACTTTTTATTGTTTATAAACTAATGATTTAATGGTATAAAGTTGCACGGTGACAATTTTGTGATTATTGAGAAGTCTCGTGGCATTTATTAATGTTCAGATAGTAGATCTAATCCAAGGATTGAGAATTGGTCTTACGGGTCTCACGAAAGCCTTTGGTCTCGCATGATCCCAAGTCTCTCTCTTTATATATGTACACACACACACACATACACGATCTATAAAGTTTTATATTTTAATTTATTTATTAACCATTCAGTCAATCTATGATTTTAATATAAGTGTAACAGGGTCTCCAAAAAGATAGGAACGACCCTGTTTAGAAGATTTGTAATTGAATTTCATTCCAATTTCATGTTTGGTTTGAACAATTTTCTGGATTTGAAATTCATGGGGTGGTTGGTATTTCATGGGATTTTGTAAGATCGGATTTGTATATGAATAATGTTTTAAAATATGATAAAAATATTTATTGTATGGTAATCAATTGATTAAAAAAATAATTTAATTATTTTTATAATTATTTATGATTTGTTTATATAAACTATTTATAAGGAATTGAATTCACTTCCATTTCAAGTCTTACAAATCAGACAAATCAAATATTCCAAATATTTACAAATCCAAGTCCTTCCACAAAATCTAGATTTCTCAAGCTCATTCTATCAAGCCAAACGCCCTTCTAAAATATCTCCAATAACTATGTTAAAATAGCGACTTATGTTACGTAGAGCACAAAATCATGACTGTTGGTAGGGGTGCTCATTGGTTGGGTTGATCAAGTTGAAAAACATTTGAACAATTCAACCTAATGCTTGTGGTTTGAAAATTTTTAACTTAACCCAACCCAAACCAAAGTGCAACCTAACCCAACCCAAACCGTATGGTTGGTTGGGTTGATACTTTGGTACATTAAAATATTTTCTCTAACCTTGAATATGTTATTTTTCTACTCATAATTTGTTTTTCATCATCAACCATTTGATACAACTTATCCGTACTTATTAGATCTTACGTATATCACATTTAAATTAATTTTCTCAATTTACAAATATATGTTCACAGTTACTGAACATATATACGAATGAGTTATATATAAATGGATAATAGATTGAAAATATAAATGAGTTGCAAATAATAGTAACCCGATTTCAACTCAATACATACGGTTTGAAAATTTTACAACTCGATTAGACATCGAGTTAAGTTATTTCGTGTTGGATTGGGTTGAGTTTGTCGTGATTTTGAGCACCCTTAACTGTTGGGGCGTCTGAGCCAACTATTGTTGCCACCACGGATGGTCGAATCAGCATGACGAGTCTAGATTCGTTATAAAGCACAAATAGCAAAAACGAAATTGAGAGTGACAACCGATTTTTAAGAATTGTGCAACGTATCTTGATTTTGTTCATTTAATATGCATTATATATAAATGTGTGTTTGTATAGAAAAACTCCAAATAAAATGAATAGTTGTTTTTATTTATAATTTTAATAAAAGAATTCAAAATAAAGGCGGATATCTGGTAGATTATTCCCTGGTTAAATTAATTAAAACTTTAAAAATAAAATACAGTTTTAAAAAAAATTAAATTAAGTCCGGCAGATTAACTCGTCGAAAACTTAATCTTAAGTACTAATTTTAATTAATTAAGTCAAGGAAATCTAAAAAAAATTAATTGCAATATCAGAAGATTACATTTACATATAAACATATATTTCCATATATCAAGAAATATAATTTATATATTCGGTCTCTCTATCTTACAAAGGCTATACTACAAAATAGCTAACAACTTTTTCCACAACTCTATACAACATATGAATACATAACAAACATTCGGATATACAAAAGAAAAATATGATAGCCCAATAACTCATGCAAGCATAATATTAACACTTCACAATTTCCCATTTTCCTTTATCATCTGGTTGTACCCGACCTGTAATGCACATTTTTTAAACACAAAATGAGCGTTAGACCTTGAGATCTAATGAGAAATCTCTTTGTTACGATTATAGGGTGAAAAATCACCAAACTATATTTATGAAATCATATTCGTAATAATAACAAATATATATCAATTTGATATAACAAACCTCATTTATTGTATCCAAATACCCAATAACTTGATAAACACATTATGAGTAAAACTTTTCGCATCAAATAGAAGTTTATATAAATTCCTCGCATCACATGGGTAAGACAAACTTATCTCCTCGCAACACACTGGTTCGAGAACCTCAACTCATCGCATCATACGGGTGCGATAAACCCAACTAGTCTCATTACACAGGTGCGATAAATCAACTTGTCGCATCACAAGGATGCGACAAAACTCATTCTTTGCATCATATAGGTGCGATAACCACACTTCAAAGTCATCACATCACACAGATACGACAACTCAAGACATCGCATCATAAGGATGCGATAACAATGAATGTTTGATCAAAACCCAGATTTTATAACTCATGATTTTGTCACCCTTATCTTGGTATAAACCTCTTCTTGATATGTCACCATCATCCCAGTATACATTTCTCCTTGATATACCATCCTTATAACCAAAATACATCTCTCCTTGATATGTCATCATTATTTCAGCAATGATATAATCATGACAAAAACCCACAATTATGCTAATTATAGCATCCCAAAACAGTTTTATAAACATAATTTCACATAAAAAAACCATATGATTCAACTTCCAAATTACCAAATAAGGAAATTTATATATAACTCACCTTATAAATCACAAAGAGATGAAGATATAAAGAAGGACAGCAGCAGAATTGTAAAACTCTTCCCCATTAGACATACATAATATCTCATATAATACTCATTAGTTATAAAAGGTGGTGGACATTGAAAAGGATTTAAGTACATAATCAACTAAAACTCCTCAACTTACCAACATATTTAAAAACAACCTCGATCTTTATAACCGAATTATCAGGTTATCACATTAGTGGCGGATTTTCGGGGGCCGGAACGATTTCCGGTGGATTTTCGGCATATATGTCTGCCAGAAAAAGTCTATTGTATTAGTAGTGCAGCTTAGAGCATCTCCACAACTATATTAAAATAGTGATTTAGGAGCTTTCTGGCTCTAAATTAACGGTTATGCTAAAATAAAAAAAAATAAAAAAATTCAAATGTGGAGAAATCTCTATATATTATTTTGATTGTTTACACCAATGAGGTGTTGGATGTTTTATAATTTTCTATGAAGTTTTTTAAAAAATGTATTGGAATGATAAATTTATAGAATAATGTGAACATAATTAATGATAAGTTGCTAAAATAAAGTTACTATTGAAGTTGAATGTAATTTTTTTTTTAAGATTACATACGTAGGGCCGTTTACCAGTTACTTACCCAGTAAACATTTACGGGTAAAATTTTACACTATCATTTACTTATCGGGTAAGATTTTAGTCACCAATACAGCATCGTATGCAACAATGTACCCGGTAAGCGGTTACCGTGAGTCGTTACCCTCACTTACCGTGTAACACTCTCGGTCCTTCATTCGTTCTTACCGGATAAGATTCTTAGTCTTTGCCATGTCATTTTATATTTTCACTCTTAATTAACACATCAAAGTACTTGTAATCATATAAGTCAAGTGTTCATATAACGATACCACTCTATTTATCAAATTAATTGTTGTTAACTTACAATTAACATCCTCACAAATCCAAGGTCGTAATTTATTTATTGAAGACACACATAATATATATAAATACAATAAAAGATGATATCACAATCTTTATTAAGATGTAACATGAAACATAATTCAAATTCTATTGAACTATGACGACATTCAAACAACAAACCAAGACATACTCAAGAAAGTTAACTTCAAGCGGTTCTCGGTGGTTTGATGTATTGAATCATCGAATAATGTTTCAGAAGTGCATCGTGTGATGGGAGCGCGTTCTTAACGGCTTCGTGTGACCTCATTTTCTTCGCCCATTCCACAAGCCTTGGAGATATTGTTTCATCAAACACCTTGTAGTTGTTAAGTGTTTCGGAAAATGTAATCCACCCCAGAAAGCATCCGAGAGCAATATCTAGGTACCCGATGTTATCTCCACCGAAATAAGCCTTCCCATCGCTACACTCCACAAATACTCGTTCCAACAACTTTGCTGCTTCCCTGATCTGTATTTTCGCCTCTTCTTCTCCCTTCTTGTCTGGTGACTGCCTTAAGTCTTCGAACAATGGGAAAAACTATCATCAAAATATCAAGATATGAATTAGTAAAACACGAGATGTCAACCACGCTTTTTTTTATTAACCTGGATATCCAACCCGCTATACGAGCCGACTAATCCCAGAGCGACCACCTGCTTTGCAGATAGATTGAAGTCACCGCATTTGAACCTCCGTGACCACAAGGTGATTTTATATCTTCTTGGATTTGAACCTAGGATCTCCTGGTACTTTTGAGCTTTAGAACCAAGCTCAAACCAATCAGGCACCACCCTTGTGAGGTATGGAATACGTCGTTATGTAGGTCGTGAGGTATTTTGAACACCCCTAGCTAGCTAGAGGTACATCCTTGGCGATTGAAAAAGAAAGATGCATACTAAAAAAACTATTATTGCACTTGGTACAAGGATTAAAGTGTCATTAGGACTATTTTTACAATGAGACTTGCAAAAAATCAATCAAAATCTAACCGTCCATAATTTATTAAAAATTTTAACCTACCTGTGTATCAATGAAGTAGGCCCAAGTGCGGTTGTGGGCACGAACCGAAGGGGCACGTGGGAGGATCGGGTGGACATCCGGAAAGATTTCATCAATGTACTCAATAATGAGAAGAGACTCGATAAGCGGTGGTTCGTTTGCATGAAGAAGCACAGGGACTCTCTGATGAACCGGGTTCGATTTCAAAAGGAGATCACTTTTGCAACCAAGATTCTCACTGATGAACTCGTAGTCGATGCACTTGAGGTTGAGACCGATTTGAACCCGGTTCACAAAGTGACTTGCTGGGGTGCCAAGAAGCTTAATTTCACCTTTCTTCGCCATGAAAGAATGTGATAGATGCCTGCTTGAAGAAACATGTTTAATTGCTTAGTATATATAACCAATTAAGATTAAAATTGTTTATTTATTGTGTTTTTCAAAAAGTAAACAAAGAATAACACAAGAATTTTCAAACAAAGAATAAAAAAGAATTTTCCAACATCATTTATATATTCGTTAGGTAAATTTTATGATTTTATATATCTTTTTCTTCTTAATATTTCTTTTTTCTTTTTGTGAAACACGTGTTGACGCTTCTATTGAAACTTGTAACATATTTGGTAAAATAAAATACATACATACATATATATGTCTATACATACATACGTACATACATACGTACATACATACATACATACATACATACATACATACATATAGAGAGAGAGGGGGGAAGGGAGGTTTATGCGAGAAGTTAATTAATTTATGAGAAGTTGAAAAGTTACAAGATGACACCAGATTATATGTGATACGAACACCTACATGTGATATAACACATCCAAAAAGGACGGGGTGACTTGAGGAACGCGACCGAACGTCGTGGGATTTGGTCGTGGGAAACGTCGTCAGCTAGACGCCAATCAACACATGTATATGAAATGACCTGACTCGAAACGTAGACTCAACTTGAGCCATGTTTGTCAACTATGAGCTAGTTTATTTTTTGAGCTATTCAAAAAAAAATTGTTCGGATAATCATACAATTAGCTTATTGAAACGTTGATATTTAAAAGAGTTAATAGTCACTTTATTCAATTTATACCTCTAATAATAATTATTATTAAAGTAAAGTTTTCATTAATGATCAACGGAAGTACAAGTAAAGTTTAAATCCTCAACTAGCCAATTAGGAGAGGCCACACCCGTAGTCGGCGAGGCGTAAAATAGAGATTATCTTGCCAAGACATAATCACCCACGTTTTTTATCTCCTAACATATTGGACCTTATAAGTTGCCGACAATGGTGGATGATGATTCTAAATTCAGTGTTACTCTCTTCTCCTTCGTTTATAGCATATGTCACCACTTGGGAATCGGTCCCGAAGATTACATTTCCATGTCTTATTTCACAAATCCAAGATGTAGCTTCTACTAGGCTAATGCTTCACACTCCCTTCACTTTTGGGTATCCTCGAGTTTACATCATTTTGGAGGCCAACAAAGATCCTTCCTCGTTTCGTAAAGCCATACGTGCTCCCGTTCGGTCCTTGTTTTTGAAAATTGCATCATCACAATTATATATAAGAAACTGAACGGCCCAAGGGATGCCATTTGTTGCACCTGGAGGATGGTTCGCTCTTCTCTTGCATTCCATAAACTTTATTTGCTTGAACACACTCCATTAATACAGTTAGATCGAGCTAGACCATCGTAGAAGGTAGCATAGTTGTATTCTTCCAAACCCGCTGGTTTCTTTCCTTCTAAATGCTCCACAAGATGGTCATTAGTTTTCTCAAGATCGAATCAGACTACCTTAAACAACCATAAATTTGTAATTTGATATGAAATTATAGTTATTAATTAATAATATATGAATTTTAAATTATTAATATAATTGATAGTAATTATTATTTTTAACTATTTACTATATTCATTGTTTTTATATCATCATTAAATATAAGCTAATCAAAAATTAAAGTTATATTTGAACTGTTGCATAAATAATAAAATGTTCTTAAAATACTTTTAGTAAAATATTTAATTAAATTATTAAGTATTTCTTTCGAAGATTAATAGTTAAATAAAATATGTACAATTGACAAACTTTGTTTATTTCATATAATATTAACGGTTATTTAAAACAATGAATTAATACTTTTCTAAATTCATATATATTTGATAACACAAGTTCACGTTTATCATATATGAGATTAATTATTTGAAAATCTCATATATTGTGATAACTATTATCGTAAGATATTGATTCAAATGTTTTTTTTTATCTAAAACTATAAGTTAATATATTGATTAATATAAAGTTGACTCACAATTAATGTGTTTGTTTCATATGTATTCAATTTACAATTTGAAACTTTTCGTTGTATTTTTTGTTTTACAAACACTAAAAAGTAGGCATGAGAACGAAACCATCCCTATTGGGGAACCCGGTGTACCCGCTTCGATGGGGCCGGGGATTCCACGCAAAACCGAGGATGGGGACAAGGCTCGTCCCCGTATATTAAATATATTATATATAGTTATTATTGAACATATTATTTATAAAAAGAAGTAGATTTAATATCTTTTAGATTTAGAAATAGTATTTTTGATCTTTTTGTTATATACAATTTCTCTAAGTTGTCTTTACTTTTTTAGATAAGAAAACATTGAAAGTCGAAAACGTTTGATCAAACAATTATGTATGTTGTGATTTTGTTCACATATGAATATTTGACACTCTATAAAGCAAATTCTGAAAATATGTGAGATTTAAATGTGTACCATTATCGATCAAGTGTAGAACACATTTAATTTGAAATATCTCATATTAATGGGGAAAAATCCTCAATTCCCCGTTGGGGACGAGGATGAGTATGTGATCATATTCGCCGATGGGGATAGGGATGGGGACGGGGCAAAGATTGGGATGCTCTATTCCCATGCTTAATAAAAAATATTCACATTTTGAAACAATTATGTTAATCAATATACTAAATTCAAGCCGTAGATGGAAATATATCATGTGAAATTGCACATGATGCATCGAATCTCAATGTTATCATAATATTATTGGTTCTCATATCAAAGCCCCTTATATCAGTCAACAACTAGCTTTTCATCTCACATCTAGCTTATCAGCTAACATCTAACTTATCAATTAGTTTATAAATCAACGCTGCTTTAATCACTCAAAATCTAATCTGAAAAAGAGTCAGAGACCTGATCACTGGATACAAAAAATAGGTTTATTTAGAAGACATAACCAAGTAAGTTTTAAGTTCATTGGATCAATAATCTACGAGAAGATCCATAGAGAACCCAGAGAAAAAAAAAAAGAATCGAAGAAACCATTTGAACCGTTGATTGAATAATCTAATGTATGTAGTTAAAAGGGGTTATAACTGACTCTTTTTAAATATTAAAAGCATCCCTCTCTATTTTTTAAATAGAATATAACGAAGATTGAGAGAAACAAGCTATACCAAAAAATGATCACTTTATTATCATTAATTTCACATTCATTTTGATATATTTTTGCCCATTTTTTCAGGGTTTTTTCAGGTTCTTTTTCGATACATACACATATATATACAGAGAGATGGATAAAGAGAGAGAGAGAGAGAGAGAGAGGTTCAATTACAAAAATACATTTAGGTTGTGAACTAGTGAACAAATCTTGGCCTTCTATCTCTATTTAACCTAACAACTCATATTAAATATGATTTTTAATTAAAATAGTTAATTAAACTGATTAAGGCAAAAAAAATAATTTCAATCTTTTCCACATTTAACACTTGTTTTTTTCTTTCTTTTTTAATTAAACATGAATTTTAAATTAAATTATCTTAAAAGTTACTAATATTTTAATCAAACGAATTAAATAAGAAAACGAACATTTTTCTTTCTCTTTGATATAGCATGCATCTTGATACAATTTTTTCATTGTAACTTTTTTATGTGAAATGGTCCATATATGTAATATTCACGTATCTTAACGTGTATATAACAACTCGGCATCATCTCTTTATCACCGTAAGTCTGTAACCCGAAAACACCTTCAATGCCAAAATTCGGTAACCTAGCACCACTTTCTTCATCATTCAGACCCAACACCCATCGAGACCAATTGGGAAGTCATCGATTAACTTGGTATGTATTTATGTGTGTAAAATCATAACCTACCACATTCATTTACCAATGAAAACCTGTCAAATGATTTATTGAGTTTGTATGTAAAACCATAACCTACCACTTTCAACTTTTATTGAAACGAATAGGAGACCAATTGACAACCCAATAAAGAAAATAAAACTATAGTATGTTGGGTTAAAACGATAGTATATCCACGATGAATAGTATTATATGCATAATGAATATTATGGTGAAAATTAATATTTATAATTAATATCATACTAATATGAATAGTAGAGAGTTGTACACACGTGAAAACACATAAATATTCATGAGAATGTTTTTAGAAAACAAATGTATATCCATGATAAATATCATAATAATATATGAATATTGAAAATTTGTTATATACACGTAAATATACATAAATGTCCATGATAAATAGTGTTTATATTCATGATAAATGTTATAATGAAAATGTATATTCTTGATGTGTAATAACCCATAAATTCACATAACAAATACCACATATGTTATACATAGCATGTGCACATTGGGGCTACAATTTGGGTCTCAATCTATAAAAGTCTTCAACCTTCAGAAATCGACTACAAATTTTTCGCTAACGTAATCCTCATACAAATGATCCAAATAACATGAAGATTAAAATTTGACTCCACAAAATCTCTCGGAAAGCTTCCCACCTTTGTTTTACCTTCTAAATAATGATGCCTTGAAATGCGTACTTTTTAAAACAAAATAAGGATTAGACCATACGGTCTAGTGAGAAAATCATTGTCAGTGTACATTGTACAAAACGTTTGAACTCAACCTTTCAAAATATTCAACAGATTATAAACTTTTAAAATGATGACATCCAACTATAGATAAGATAAATAACTAGTTCACCATCTCTGCCAAATACATGTTGGCGTACCTGGCTCAACACCACCACCATATACACCTCTTTGTTATATATACAATGGCCAAACTGACTCAACACAACTAACAAATACACCTCTCTGTTATATATATATATATATATATATATATATATATATATGTCAAACTTACCCAACACCACTACCACATACACCTCTCTATTACATACATGCCGGCAAAACCAATCCAACACTACCACAACATACACCTTTTCACTACATATATATCGGCAAAACTGATCCAACACCACCACCACATACACCTCTCCTTTACATATACGTTGGCAAC